GGGCCCTCTGGCATCCCAAGCGAGTTCTTAACCATCGCACCACTCGGCCGGCCCATAGTATATAATTTTTTAATTTTACTTTTATTTTATCATAAGTGATTTTCCTCTATTGAGATAGTTTTAGTTGTTATTCATAGATACAATGTAATGAACTTAATATTTTATTGTTAGACAGTTGTATTATTTCCTACATTTTAATATTATAGATAGTTTTGCAAGTAACGTATTCATAGCTTTTATTTTTTTCAGTTGAATTATTTTCTCAGGCTAAAGTTGTCAGTGGTTGATCAGTTCCTGAAACTCATATGTTTCTGGCATTTTATTGTTTCCCTCTGTTCTTCAAAACCTCCAAGCATGAAACTTGACACTTGTGTTTTATAGACAGTATAGGAAAAAACACACTGTTTAAGCCTAAAACCAAACATTTATTTCAAGCTTCGCGGACAGAATTGTGTCACCCATGAATCCCTCTTTGGAGAGCTCCCACACACTCCTGTCAACCCCTGAAACTAGACCTGTGGTATCAGTTTTTTACCTGCTGCGAGGTCGGTTAACAGGATCAACCAGCTTTTATACCACGATCTCTTGTCCCCAGGGGAATGACTGAGGCAATACTTGGGAAATGGGATACAGGACTTCATAGCTCTACTTGTAATAGGCAAATAGCACATGATGCTTGTTTAAAATCAGTGATTTGTTTGTTGGGAGAAATTTTACAGTAGAGAAAACCAAGAATTTTAAAGAAATGTAACAAAAGTATTTTTGTTGGAAGGCAAAGAGTGGGTCTGTGTTTGCTTACTTATCAGTAGAAACTATTTTAATGATTAGCTCATAGTAGATGCTCAATAAAAATGTGTTGAATGAAGGGGGGGAAGGATGCATTATACCCAAAGGAAATCTATATCCTGGATATCACCAAAACAAATTTCTCTGGCCAGTAGGTGGGGCCATAGTGTGTCACCATTAGCCAGCTTGGAGCATAATATAGGTGTGGCCAATTTACAATTCCAAATTTCCACTTGACCTTTGCTACCTTGATTGCTGCTCCTTAAAGCAGCTGTGTTCAGCCAGTAGGTCAAAGGGAGATTATCAGGGCAGAATCTCCATTTTCTGATCACTTCTCAAAGGGTCTTAACTCGGTGCATTACTCAGCTGGCTTCACCCCAGATACTCTGTTGCTCTGGTCACAGGTTCTGCAGTTCACCATCATCTGTGGTATCCCTCAAATAAGCGTATAAGTATACTATACTTAAAAATTAAACATTCTTTCTCCGAAATTCAAATTTACGTGGGCATCGTGTATTTTTATTTGCTGAATCTTGAAACCCTATTTCCAACCACCATCTTAGTTCCTCGCAACAGAGATTTTAGTTTTCTACCGTAATTGGGACCAGGACTTAGTCTCGCCGTTGGACTCTGGTCATCCTTTGGCTCTCAGTGCTGAGCAAAAGGGGCATCCAGCCCTGGACATTGGGTTAGGGCTGAACTATCTCACGATGGCCTCTGAGACATTTTTCAGAAAAGAGAAGCCACCTGACAACCTGGAGTAAAAGCAGACAAGCAAGAAATTACAGGTTGACAGATGGAAGATGGCCCCTCCCTTCATGTAAAGTAGACAGTTTGTGCTCCACTTGTTCTGTTTGTATGGTACATGGATAGAAGCTAGAGAAAGTCGGGAGTGGCATTGTGAATGCTGTCTCAGAGCTGCGGGGACGAAATGAATGGCACTGCTTGGTTAGTGTGCCAGAGTCATGACTTGCTGGTTAACGCTCTCCACAGCCAAGTGAACCAGGACCGATGCTGAGCTCTGTGAAGAGCAGACATGAATGTAATTCCAGGAAGGAGTTCAGAATGAAAATACTGCATGGCAAGTCATGTAGTGGTTAAGAATATGAGCTCAGGAATCAGGCTTCCTGGGTTCCGGTCCAGGGTCCATCTTGTCTAGCTGTGTGGTTTTAGGCCAGTTACTTAACCTCTGTGAGTCTCAGTTTCAGCATCTGTAAAGGAAGGATAAGAGAATCTACTTCAAAGGATTGTTGTGAAGATTAAAGGAGATAATGCATGTAAAGCATGTTAAATCAATAATGACCACTGATGTCATAGATGTGCTCCTCAGAGTCAACAAATGTGATCCATAGGGAAGATCAAAGCAGGAAGTGTTTCTGGTGCAAGCGGTTTGGGGCATCAGGGTTCTTTATGTTGCAAATGATAGAGAGCCCAACTCAAACTGGATTAAACAACAAGGGAGACTTGTTGGCTTCTGCCACTGGAATGTCCAGAGATGGGGAAGGTTTCGGGAGTGGTTTGAATCAGCAGCTCAATGGCATCCTCAAGGACAGAGGTTCTTTTTGTCCCTCACTCTGCCACCCCAGTATCAGCTTTATCCCCTGGCCAGCTTTCCTCCTGGTGATGGGATGGCTGCCAGCCACAGTTGGGGCTTCATGCTTCCACATTCACCTCGAATGAGGGGAGAGAGGGGTGCTTTACCCTGGCATTCCAAGTAAGAGTGCTGAGATTCACTCTGGCTAGCTTGAGCCCTCGGCTCACCCCTGAGCGAATGATGGGGCCAGGGTGTGAGTTCATCTAGGCCGGTACAGAAGCTGCAGGGGGGATAAGCTGTCCAGGGGGGAGGAATTCCAGATGGAGACCTGAGTGATACTAGAAAAGGACATGGATGCTGGGTGGCAGTCAATAAGTTGTTACATCTGGAATGATGGGAGCAATTTGTCAAAAAATGTGCCTCAAATTAAGATTAAGCCCAGGATGAATGAAGGTGCTGCAGTGAAAACATGGGGTGCTTGGGGCATGGCAGAGCTTGTGGTGGACGTCCTTCATGTCCCAGACTCAAAGGCAAACCTATTAATAAAATTCCTTCCTGGCAGCCGTCTCCTGGTGTAGGTTCAAGGAAATGTATATTCAAGGACGGGGAGGAAATTTCAGCCACAAAGCTTCAGTTGTGCAGCCCTGCAAGGTCACCTGGAACAGACATGATTTCTTAAGAAGAGCAAGAAGGTGGAAAGAGGGCCGTCCGAGTGGCGCGTTGGTTAAGAGTTGGCTTGGGACACCAGCTCTGAGCAGCAGGGCCCAGGTTCAGATCCCACATTAGGGCCAGTGACGCTGCGCCCTCTACAGTTAAGATGGTGAACAACAGCTCAACCTGGAGCCGGGCTGCCATGGGTCACTGGCAACAGCGTAGGCTGCAGTGGGCTGCTGTAAAGTTACCATGAGCAGCCGGCAGCCAACATGAGCTGCCAAGAGCCTGTGTGAGTGGCCGTACAGAGGCCAGCGAGCGACTGCCTCACCCGGGAAGAGCGCAATGATAATACCAACATGGGCCAGTGAAGCGACGTCCTCCACAACTAGACTGAAGAACAAAAGGACAGCAACTTGTCTGTTCCCCTTCCCCAATTCCCCAATAAAATCTTAAAAAAAAAAAAAAGGAAGGCAGAAAGAGAGAAGAGGCACAGGCTGCCCAACATCACGGGGCTGCAGGAAAAGAGGAACTGGCAAGAAGGCCAAGTTAAGGCAGTCACCCTAACTTGAGAACCAGGAAGGAGTGCCGCCATGGAAGCCAACCAGAGGACGTGTTTGCTGATCTCTCCAGGGAGGCTCAAACGGGAGGCCAGTGGGAAGGGTCTGGAATGAGTGTCCCACAGAATTCATCAGATGTCCCTGGGGACGTGAGGAGCCCCCATCCTGGCTCAGTAATGACAGTGGGCCAGCTTCTAGGTTCTGACGGCTCCTCTGGACCAGCGAGCCACCACAGCAACATCTCTTCAGAGATGGCACAAAGCTCCCTAGGTAGCCCTCCCGCTGACCCAGGAAAGCCACCCAACCCACACCAGATTGTGATTAGGTGATAAATGAAACTTGATTATGTTAAGCCACTGAGATTGGAGATCACTTATTACAGCAGCTAGCATTAATCACCCTGATTGATACGCGATCTGAGTTGTTGGTAAAACCCATAAATCAGTATGTTACATGGCATGTCAGATGGTGAGAAGTGCTGTGGAGAAACAAAGCAGGGGAAGGGCGTGGAGGAGTGCTAGGAGAGGGCATCTGGACATGTTCTAAGGGGCACGGGGAGCACATGCAGACATCTGGAGGAGAACAGTCTGGGCAGAGGGAAGAGTTAGTGCAAAGGCCCTGAGGTGGGAACATGCCGGCCTGTGCGCGGAGGGAGGGAGTGAGCAAGGGGGAATAGTCAGAGAGATGCTTGGTTGGCTCAACCTTGTAAGACTGGTGGGAAGTGCCCAGACACGTGTTGAGCCTATTGGGACAGCCTGGGCAAAGCCTTAAGGATGGAACATGGAGCCAGGGGAAAGGATCCAGGTTTAGACTCCACAGATGTGTGTTCTTCTGTGGTCAGCCCTAGACTCCTGAACTTGGAGTCCTCTGAGGGCTCAGAGAAAGGAGGGCAGATACGGTCAAATACCACCTCAGCCCTCATGAGCTTGTGTGACTTTGTTGGAAGAGTTGTGACAATCAAATGATAATTGCCTGGCTAATGATCAGGTCTGGCTCAGTGCGCATTCTTTCCCCAGCCCCTTTAAGTTACAGAGTAAACTCCGCAGTGTAACCCTCAATTCAAGTTTTAAAAGTCAACTTTACTGAGATATAATTAATACATGATAAACTGCATACACTTAAGTGTAATTCAGTGAATTGTGACATGTATATCCCTGTAAAATTATCACCCCCACAAAATACAGAACATTTCCATCATCCCTAGAAGTTTTTTCAGGCCCTTCTGCAATGCACCCTTCCCTCCGCCTCGGCCCTGGACATGATCTGCTTCCTGACATTATAAATCTGTTTGCATGTTATAGAACTTAATGAAAATGGAATCATAGTCTCCTGTTACTAGCTTCTTTCACTTAGCATAATGCCCTTGAGGTTAATCCATGCAGTTGTGTGTATCAGTAGTTCATTTCTTTTTATTACTGAGTAGCGTTCCATTGGATACATCGTGTACCACAATCTGTTTATCCATTCATCAGTAGATGGCTGCTCAGATGGTTTCCAGTTTTGAGCTGCTGTGAATAGCACTGCTATAGCATTCATGTCCCAGTCTCTGTGGACCTAGATGCTTCAGTTTTACCTGGGTCAATAAATACCTAAGTGTGGTATGGTGGGAAATCGTGCGATAAGATTCTGTTTAGCTTTTTAAGAAACGGCCACAGTATTCCATTATGGTTGTACCATTTTACATTCCCATCAGCAGTGTCAGGTAACTCCGTTTTCTTACCGTCTAGAGAAACATCAGTTTGTTAATGCAAGAAGACAGCAGGGCAGGCCAAGTCACCCACGTGACTGCTGCAGTTTATGTCTAATTGCCATGCAGCACAACAGTTATGCAGCCCATTAAACATTTGGCCTGTGCTTGAACTTGTATTCTATTACATCAGAGACTCTTCTGCTATGTTCTGCGGACACTTGCTCACTCATGGTTATTTATTTATTTTTAATATTTTTGTAAATACTGTTAGCTCCCTATCAGAGTTATAACATACATAAGACTAGGGAACACTTATGTGTATCTCTCTCTCTCTCTCTCTCTCTCTCTCTCTCTCTCTCTCTCTCTCACACACACACACACACACACACACACGCATGCACACTAATTTGGAGAGCACCTCTGGGTAAACATTCTCTGGAAAACATCCAGCTCAGTTATGGAGACCTATTAAGAGTACCTTCTAGAGCCAGCCGAGTGGCTCAGTTGGTTAAGAGCTCGCTCAAGAGTTTGAGCTCTGAGCAACAGCGGTTCGAGTCCAGCCCGAGCTGAGCAGCCGTTGAGCTGCCAACAGGTAGCAGAATGGCTCAGCTAAAAAAAAAAAAGAGTACCTTCTAGTCTATCTGATCCCCATCCCCCACATCTTGAGAAGAGGATTTAAAAATAAACTTTTAATTTTAGAATAGTTTTAGATTTGCAGAAAAGTCATGAAGATAGTGCAGAGTTCCCTATTACCCCACACCCAATGTCCCCTATTGCTGACATCTTACATTACTAGGGTACATTTGTCACAACTAATGAACTAATATTGATCCATTATTATTAGCTAATTCAGATTTCTTTAGTTTTTACCTAATGTCCTTTTTCTGTCCCAGGATCCCACCCAGAATCCCATGCTGCATTTTAATCTGTGACCACTTCTCAGACTTTCCTTGTTTTTGATGACCTTGAGAGTTTTGAAGAGTCAGGTATTTTCAGAATGTCCCTCAATTTGGGCTTGCCTGATGTTTTTTTCATGGTTAGACTGGTTATGAGTTATTGAGAAGAAAACCACAGAAGAAGAATGCCATTCTCATCACATCAAATAAAGGGCACAATGCCATCAACCTGATTTATCCCTGCTGATGTTGACCTTGATCACCTGACTGAGGTCATGTTTGTCCACTGTAAGGTTACTTTCTCCCCTCACCCCCCACCTTGCTGGCCCCTTTGGAAGGAAGTCACTATGCACAGCCCACATTTAAGGGGAAGTAGCTACGTAAATCATTTGGAATTCTAATACACAGGAGATTTGGCTCTTTTCCTCATTCATTTCAATTGTCTGTTTATATCAGTAAGGACTGTTAGATATTTATGTTATACTTTGGGTTATAATCTGATACTATGTTATTTACTTCGTTGCTCAAATTGTTCCAGCATTAACCACTGGGAGCATTTTCAGCAGGTTCCTGTGTCCCAGGAGGAGAGAGAGAGATAGCTTAGCCCTTCCTTACTCTCTGTCACTAGAAGATGCTCCAGGCTCATCTTGTATATTTCCTGCCCAAGTCATAGAATCAAGTCATTTATCCAAGGAACCCAGGCTCCTTTTATTGGGGAATAATATGTAAATTCAAATCTGGCTCTGGATGTGCTAGTTGCTGCTGGGTGTCTCTGCTTTGAGGCCTTCAGGGCTGACACAGCAAGCAAATATATGTGCAGATACTACCCTATGTATAGACACATATCTATAAATATTTCTATATGTATCCATCTGCAGCTATAGTAAGCTAAACATGAGCTCATACCAGTGTCCCTACTCTCGTCCAGTACCACATGGGTCGTTCTAGCTTTCCCCCTTGGCTTGTCTGTAACCTCCCACTCCAACAGAGAGAAATCTGGCTCCCACATCCATTTACTTAATTGTCTGATTCCAGTGTGCACCTATAGTGTGCTTTCAGAACTGCTAACCTATACCTCCATGGGAAACAGCTTTGCCAACTAGAGCACAGTGCTCTGGCACTTCCTTTTGCCTTTAGTTTTATAGACTTCACTCATTTCCAAAATTACTTAGGTCAGCATCTTTTCTCCCATCCAGACCTTGCTTATGGCCTGGCTCTCCCCTTCCCTCACCTGTGGGGCTCCAGTGGTGGTGGTCTGTGTGGGGACTGGATCCCATGCTCTATGGAGTCTCATCAGTCCCCTCTGCCATCATTAGACTGACACCCCTCACCCCAGACAACCCAGTTGAATCCTCTCAACCCATCTGCCAAGTGCTGTGACCTCAGGGCTGCACTGTCCCAAGGCCCAGCCCGTCAGTGTTCACTCCTACCTGAGGACCATCGCTCACCCCCTGGGCCGTGCAGCAGGGGCCCGCCACTCTGGGCCCTGGCCAAGCTGTCCAGCCATCCTGCTGGTCTACCTGGTAACTGGGGCCTTCTCAGGTTACTCAGAGGATCACTTTGCCTTAGAAACTCCAGCTGTCACCTCGGGCGCACCAGTAACCGATGCCAGGGTCCTGAGCAGCAGATGTTCACAAGTGCTGGGTTCTGTCACCGTGGCCACTGCAGTCACCAGTAAGGAAGGTGAGCAAACCTGGGGAGGAGGTCCGGCACCCAGTATTCTGGGATGAGGGGCCCTGGGATGCCTCCCTCTCGTGTCCTGAGATAGCCCAGCCAGCCCTGTTGGGAGCCCGGATTCCTGTTTCCAGGCAAAGGTGAGCGGGGAGAGAGTGGCCCGGATAGGGAGCTCCAGGTAGACGGGAGAAGGCTTGGGTCAGTCTTCCAGGCTGGGACGCACTGGAGGGCGTCTGAGTGCTGGCAGACTCTTCAGCCCTGTAGGTACCAGAGGTTGGGTGTTAGAGGTGTTAGGAGTTGCCTGCTGTGGCCTGACAGGCAGCCCTGCCGCAGGTGTGTTGATCAGAACAGGTGTATACCTGGGTGGGGGTGGGACATGTGTCCTTGTCCCGAGTTCAGTTTCCAGCCAGTCCCTCCTGGACTGCTTCTCTCGCGGTACAAGCTCTTCCAAGACCTGCTGATGACCCCCCCCCCTCCCGGGCCCAGTGGACCTAGGAGTCTGGTGCTGCCACCAAGCGACAGAGGAAGTGTCCTTGAGGCTCCATGGCAGCAGCTCGGCCTAGCAGAGGAGGATGAGGGCCCCTGGCGTGTGACAGCCTCCATCCACCCCACCCAGGGTGAGGAGTTGTCATATCGTGCTCTCTGGTGGGTGGGTGACACAGGTTCTCACTGGATGTCACTCAAGGACATTGCTTCTTAGTCCATGATGCTATGGAACTCTGGGTCTCCCGGCCTACAACTCCCCAGCTTCCAAGAAGTGTTCTCCAGATGTCCTGGGAGAGGCCAGCTGCTGGAAGAGGGAGCCAGAAGAGTGACTCCCATGGGCAAGGGTCCCCAAGCATCTGAGGAGGGCTGAGGGGTTTTGAGGGCCTTCAAAATCCATCCCTCAGAGGTTCTTCTCAGCCATGGTCGGGAAGTCCTCAGAGCTATGGACTCCTCCAGAAAACTGAGCCTTCACAACACATATTGCCTACAATTCCAGAGGCCACCCATGGACTCATGAAAGGAATCCCCTCTCTAAACAGACATATGGACACACACACACACACACACACACACACGGTTCTCTCCAGGACCGTCAGCCTCATGCCGCAAGGCTGTGTTTGTGCCCCCAGCCCACCTCAGCAGCCCATACAATGGACCTCTTGGAGGACAGAGTCACTTCCTCCTTCTGAGCCTGTCCTAAGCCAGGAGCCCAGAGATCCCGAAGCAGCCACACACTGCTTCCCCAGGGAGGTTAAGAGAGTCTTAGAACTCATAGGGCAAATATCCCCCAAACATCAGTAGGGATTTGTGAGCTCATGTCACTGGGAAGTCCTTTTGTCATATGGAAGTTGGTGGATTTCAGGCACAGCTGGATCCAGGAGCTGAGCCACTACCTAGGAACTGAGCCTCCACATGGAAACAGAGACAAGTCAAGGCCCAGACTGGCACCCTCCCTCCCCCCAGGGCCCTTTAAATGGCATGCAGACCTGTGTACAGGGCCACAAGGAATCTCCTGTGTGCTGTCTCTCCCTCTCCAGCTGAGCCACCTCTGCTGCCATGCCGGCCACCAACCAGGGCTGGCCCGAGGACTTCGGCTTCCGGCTGGGCGGCTCTGGCCCCTGCTTCGTCCTGGAGGTGATGGAGGGGAGCAGCGCGCACGCCGGGGGGCTGCGGCCCGGGGACCAGATCCTGGAGGTGGAGGGGCTCGCTGTGGGTGGCCTGAGCCGCGAGCGCCTCGTGCGCCTGGCCCGGCGCTGCCCACGCGTGCCTCCCAGCCTGGGGGTGCTCCCAGGCCCAAACGGTGGCTCTGGCGCGGAATCCGGCCTAGAGCCCGCGACCACAGTCTTGCGGCCCCCGCGCCACGGCCGCGGCCTCTCCTTGGGCCGTGAGCTGCTGCGCCTCGCAGGCCGCAAGCGCCCTGACGCGGTGCACCGGGAACGCAGGCGCAAGGCCCAGGAATTCAGCCGCAAGGTAGGGCCCCTGGGTGGGGCTCGTGTGGCCAAGGGCTCCCGTGGGCAGGGCATGTCGGATGGGCATGCTGCGGCCCAAAGTGGGCCTGGAGCTTGAGGCTCCACAACCTGCAACCGAGAAATCTAAGGACAGATTTACCAGAAATTTAATGATACTCAAGCTTCAAGGCCCTGTACCTAACTAATTTTGTGATTGGGTTCGCCTGATTTGTGGCGGTTGCTTTTCTTTTTTCTTGAGGCATAGGGGTGTACAGTAAAGTGCATTAAGTGTACAGCTCCATAAATTTTATATATGCAGACACCCTTGTGACCACCACCCTGATCAAAGTGTAGACTAATGGAATAAGGATAATAATAGGATGGGGGTTATAGAATGATTCCTTCACCCCAGAAGGTTCCTATGCCCCCCTTTCCTTGTCTGTCTGCCCTGTCAAGAGGTAGCTGCTATCCTGACTTCCATCATTATAGATGCTTTTTGCATCTGTTAACTTCATATATAAATAGATTCATGCAGTGTGTCTTCTTCGGTGCTAGGCTCCCTGAGCTCAGCATGGCCTGTGACCTTCATCCACCACGCGTGTGGCAGTGGCTTGTTCTTTCTATTGCCTGTGTTGCTAACATAGTGTCTTAGTCCACTTGGGCTGCTAAACAAAAGACCTGGTGGTTTCCGAACAACAGGCATTTATTTCTTACAGCGCTGGAGGATGGAAGTCTGAGACCAGGTGCCAGCATGTGGAGTGAGGGCCCTCTTCTGGGGTGCAGACTTCTGTCTCACGTGACAGAAGGAGCGAGGGAGCTCCTTGGGGTCTCTTTCTTAAGGGCACTGATTCCATTTCTGAAGGCCCCGCCCTCAGGGCCCAACCACTGTCCAAAGGCCCCACCTCGTGGATATTAGGTTTTCAACATGTGAAATTTTTTTTGGGGGGGGCAGGATACAAACATTCAGACTGCAGCAACAAATGATGTCTCCTATAATCCCAGATGACCTGCTTTAGAAACAAAGGTCTGCCCCAGACTCCATCCAACCCCTGGAGAGCCGTGACGGGGCAAGGTCAGCGCCGCGGCAGGCAGGCTGGACACGCAGACCTGGCCTGGAAACAGGGCCTGGGTGGTCATCAGCAGAGGGTGAAATCCAGTGGGCTGCCCAGGCCAGCTGTGGTGTGCTTTCTGGCAAGGGAGCATAGGAAGTGATGGATTCTGGTTAGCGGTCACCATGCACATCCAAAAGCTCAGAAAGAATCCCAAAAAAAGTTTGCCTCAGGAAGATCAAGGGCATCTATGGAGTCCCCCATCGGTTTTCAACAATCAGCTCCTGGGTCCTTGCCAGCACCCTCTCTGCCCCAGTTTTTCCTCCTTGAAGAATCTGATATTTAATAGAAAATCCATTAGTGTCCCGTGATGGTGCCTCATGCTTAGATGTAGGTTGAGAGCATCTGGATAATAGCTGACACCAAAACCGCACTGTGGCACAGGCCCCAGGAGGGAGGAACTATTTTTTCCTCTTTCTTACATAAAACATCTTTCCAGCTAGCCATGCTCTCCTTTGAATTGAGGCTGCAGCTGACTTTGATTGCAAAGCCACTGACCTTCCTGGACATGGTGGGTGTACCAGGAGGGCGTGCCCCGCCCTGCAGTCTGCTCTACTCACCAAAAGGGAAACTGAGGTCTGCAGGGGAACTGCAGGAAATGCAGTGCGCGAACAGCTAGCTGGCCACTTGCGGCTCTTTGGTTTGGCTCCATAAACATTAACCGAGGGCCTCCTGTGTGCCAGGCCCCGTGCTTGGGGCTGGACAGGAGTAAGACCTCAGGTCTGGGTCCCGGGCCGTCACACCTGTGGTAGAGATAGACAGCGACAGTCTTGGGGTGCGCACGCGCTAGGACTCAGGCATGCGCAGAACGTGGCCTCTGACTGCTTCCACGGTGTTACTACCTCTGAAAAGCCTTCCTTAACCCCCTTGTGCCACCATCTTAGGAAGCAGCTGGAGAAACAGTTTTGAAGTTCAGGAGCAAGCTCTGGGCTAAAGGTGAAGATGTGGGAGTCACCGTGTGGGGTCCTTGGCCAGAGCACTGTCATGGGTGCTGCAAGTGGGGCGGGCTGTAGGGGGAGGGGCAGTCATATGGAAAGTGTAGACAGCTCTGGGCCCGAAAACTAAGAGGGTGATGAGGCGGTGGGGTCAGGGGGACTTTATTTACGTATTTATTTATTTGATGGGAGAGGCTTGAACGTTTAAATAAGTTGAAGGGAAAGAGGCAGTAGAGACGCGGAGATCTGAGCATTTAGCAGTTATTAATAATGGACCATGATGTACAAGGACTAGGAAACAGCTGTGAGTAGGACAGGCTGGGAGCCTGCTCTCATGCAGCTGACATTCCTATGAGGAAGTGGACAAACAAAAAAGCAAGCTATTTCACGTAAAGATAACGGAGATGAGAGAGTGATGGGGGCCACTTGGGCAGAGTGGTCAGGACAGGCCCCCGAGGAGTGACTTTTCGGCTCTTCATCCTCTGAGAGTGGAGGGTGGAGGCTGGGATGTGGTGTCTGGTCAGAAGTTGGGAGGTGGATGGAAGGTGAATGAGGTGGCACGGGTCAGCCCTGGTTCTGGCCAAAGTTGCACACACGCCCCTGAGAGATGCATGGCAAACTCATGCTCACTCAGCTGCCCAGCCTCCCACCTCTGCTTCAGGGTCAGCTCAGGATGTTAGTGCTCAAAAACACCCCCAGACTCTCCATCAACAGGGCAGGGCTTTCATCGAGTATGGACAGACAGTGGTTTGCTGCAGCATTAAAAAAAGTAACAACACCAGACACAAGAGCCTGCATGTTGTATGACCCATTGCCTCTACCCAGTCTAGTCACATCCGTAGAGAGAAAAGTAGACGAGTGGTTGCCAGGGGCTGGGAAAGAAGGGGATGGGGAGTAACTGCTTCTTAGGTTTCCATTTGGGGGCGTGAAAAAGTTCTGGTACTAGTGGGGATGGTTATACAACAGTGTGGATGCACTTAATGCCACTGAAATGTACACGTTAAAATGGTTACAATGGTAAATTTTCTTTTGAAAGAATTTTTAACAATACCAAAAAAAAAAAGGAAAAAAATGGAACAATAATAACTTGTGTTTCTTTTCCTGACTACATGTCATATAAGCTCACTGTAGAAAAAGTAGAAGCCATTGAATTATTTAAAAAATCCAAATCACTATAAAAGTTAGTGTGTATTTCCTATGCACAAATGTGTAATTATATATAATAAAAAAGTAACGCTGTGTGTTCCATTTGATAACCTGCTTTTTTTACCTCCCTATTTATCACACTTTTCTACATATCTGATAATAGCTTACTTGAGATATAATTCACATAACATGCAATTTGCTCATTTAAAATGTACAATTCAGTGGTTTTTAGTGTATTCACCACAGTTGATTTTAGAACATTTTCATCACCCCATAAAGAAACCCTGCACTCCTTAGCCATCATTCCCCATTTCATGATTTTAAATAAAGGTTGACAGTGTCATCCTCACTGGGCAAACAGTACCACATTGCATCAAATCTAAAACACTGTCCATTGCAAGATGCACCACTGTTTTATTACCACTAAGAGAGGAAAAATCCCTGCCAATTAACCAATGACACGTGCTTTCTCATCAGCTTCTTGTCACTTAACTTAGTAGTTATTGAAAAAGGACTTTTAGTCTGATTTGGACATATTTAGTACCAGCAGGGCACATAGCTCAGTGGATGTAACACTACAAACACCTATGACCAAATTCACACACACACACACACACACAGGAGTGACGATTACCCTCAAAGACACATGCTGATCTCAGAGATGTTAAAACATGAAAAAAATACCCTAGAATTAACGATGTCCAGTATTGCACAGTATGGAGTGAACTTGGCAACAAAACAACGAATGTCAACTCCACTAACTTCGGCAGGAAAAGAATTTGTGGGAGGCACAGTACAGAGAATCAGTGCTGGAGACCCAGGCTTAGAACCAAGAAAGATCACACCCCGGAGTACAGCTGTCCTGAAGCATCCTTCAGGAAGAGTCTGCTTGGGGCGCGCTACGGGACTCTGCCACTGCCCTGACCAGCCTCTGCTGTCCCCACGTCTCTGCATCAACCCTTCAAGAGCCAAAGCCCTGGGCAAGTGCCTCCAGATGGCCAAAGCTACAACATAACGCCACGGTCTTGCCTCCCACCAGGAGAAAATGTTCCCCCCTTTCTTGGCTACATAGCCAATAAACTACAGATGTCCCCCAATTGGGTGTGCAACACGCCCATTTCTACGGACTCCTCTGAGTAGATCCCCATCAGCTGGCTTGTACACAAAGATGAAGAGAACGGAAGTCCAGAGAGAGCATCGAGGGAGTCAAAATCCAGGGCTAAGCATGCTTGCCAGAGCTTGCTTCATGGAGCCAGAAGTTCTCTGTGGGATCTGTCAGTGAACGGTGTAGTAGAAAGGAGCATAGTATTATCATAATAGTAACCAGCAATTATTGAGTGCCTGGCACACATTTAAGCTCTTGCATTGATTCCTGTGATTCTTACATTATTCTGTGGAAGGACTATCTCTGGGCTTGAGTCCTGACCCCATAACCCTGGGCAAGTCCCTTCACCTCTACCAGCCTCAGTTTCCTTAGAACAAGATCCTAGCCGTGCCCACGTTGCAGGGCTGCAGAGGTTTCAAATGGAGTGACTTGGTCAGACAGCTCACAACCACACAGGAAGGGCTGCTCGTGTCAGCTGTCCTGTGGAGGTAAACTGAGGGAAGAAGGGAGGGGCCGAGGTTCCCCGGTGTTCTGCCCTGGGTCCCTTGTGATCATTCACAGGACCCTTCCGCGCAGGTGGACGAAATCCTGAGGGACCAGCCGGCTGCCAAGGAGCAGGTGTTCGCTGCACTGAAGCAGTTTGCAGCCGAGCAGCGGGTGGATGACCTGGTGTGGGCACTCACCCTGGCACTGCCCCGCGAGGCCCGGGGACCACTCCTGGACAACCTCAGGTACCTCAGTCTGGGGTGGAATGGGCAGGCAGGGTGTGTCTCGTTTCGCTTAGGGGTGTCCCACTGCCATCCCAGGCACTTCTGCCACTGCAACTGGACCCTAACACCCCTTCAGTCCCAGAACAAGCGTGGGCCAGTGACCCTGGGGAGAGCGGCTGTTGGCTCTGCTGGATGGCAGGACATTGCTTTGAGTGAGAAGGAAAGGGCTGCTAACTGCTGGGCTGGAACAGGCACAGAGGGGACCGTCCTCCTGATCTGAAGTCCCAGCTGGCCCTGCTCTATCCCCAAACCAGGTCATAGAAATAAGCAGGCTACCAGGAAACTCCTAGTTCATTATGGAGACAAAGCAGTGGCACAATGTGCAGTTCAGGGTCGTGCTGTGGGTCCCTGACACCCGGTCCTATAAACAGTGTATGCTTTCTGCCCTTTGATGATGCCAGCCAGCTGTGTGCCAACCACCTCACCAGGACCCTAGAGGAACACTGTCTGGCTGAAACCACCCAGCACTATTATTCCCATTTCGTAGAGGCAGACTGAGGCCCAGAGAGGTTAGGAGGCTGGTCCAAAGTCACACAGCAAATGAGTGGCAGGCACAGGAATGTAAACCCAGTCAGCTGTGCACTTTCTGCTGTTGTGCTCAGCTTTGGAACACCTAAGTTTATTTTTTAGAAAAAAAACCCTGGTGGTCCACACCTGGAGTGGTCCAGGGAATCTCCTAGCCCTACAAGGACTAGGAAACAGCTGTGAGTAGGACAGGCT